GTATACATTTTTTCAGTGTTCTCATTCTTAAGCTAGTGCACAAGAGGCCAATATCTCAAGTGCTTTCTAAAATTGATTGAATGAATGTTAAGTTCCTCACACTTAGGATTTTCAATTTTAAGGCTAATATGAACTGTGATTCTCCAAACTAAATGGCAAAAACACAGTGGGTACAGTGTGGACACAGTCGTTTCCTAGACAGCTGACCAAATTTGTATTGATTAAATGAGACATTGTGGCCTTTTCTGTCTTTTGACTACAGACCGTACTGTTTTCCAGCCGCTTTTCTTACAAAAACATGCAAGTCACAAGGAGGATTTTAGAGATCAATGCAAAGCAATTGTCACTACAGGAAAAACAGCCTGCATTCCGAAGTGTAATAGGCATTAGATGCTATATTTTGAGTAAAAATCTAACACAGGCTTATAATACTTTTGTTTTTTCATATTGAAATTGTATATTACCTTCCAAATCTCACATCTAAGAAAAAAACAAAGATGTGCAATTTCTTTTTAACAGTGTTTAATTTTTTCCTTAGTAAAAACCAATCTGTGGATAGTTTCCTTAGCCAGACAGTATTTACTTCTAAAAATCCCTACACTATCTTATAAACCCCAAACACAGCATACAAAATATAAAAACAATAAAATCCTTATAACCATTACCATGGGTGGAAAGAAAGTCAGAAAAATACACAAAGCAGTGAAAGGCTGGATGTGAAGGATGCCAGAAGGGAGCGGGGGAGGGTTTCGTGAGGTTCTAGGCGAACCCTGTGATGACGTCACCTCACATACATAATGTTACAGCAGTCAGCACAGGCCTCCTGCTTTCCTATTGGTGAACACCGTGTCAGCCGACATCAGAAGATAATCATCATTGGTCAGACAATTACAACTGAAGCAACTAGCATCCACCACTGCTAGCACAACCCTGGCAGGCTGCTGAAAAAGAGAAGGCAGAGCAGAGCCAGCTGCCCTTCTCAGTCAATGAATTTTATGTCACCTTACCAATCCCTCGGCGATTTTGCCCCTTCCCAGCAGACCTAATAAATGAAGTCAGCTATTTGTGAAAACAACAGGTAAAGGCCAGACATCTCATAAAAGAACAAAACGCCTCTTATTTTCAATGCTGTAAAATCACAAGGACTTTTCAGTGTCAAATCAGAACTTAAAAATATTGTTGAGCTAAAAGCAGGTATTTTCCTCTACCTCATGCAATATACTCTCATTTACCAGATACTACTACCCAGGATATTTTTTAATTGACATATAAAGATGTGGCTCAGGGTGATTCTCCAAGGCATACTTATTACTCTGCATTTTTCCATAGTTTTTCTAATGTATTATATGTGAAACTATTTGCTAGAAAAGTAAAATGGTCTATAGTATTTATCCCATGTCTAAAACAATGATTCATTACTTTATGAATCATTGTTTGAGCAGCAATAAACTTGATAAATTTGCCTCAGTTGAACTATTTATAAAAACACCACTTCAAAATAAGGGTCCTATTACATTAATAAGTAATAAAGTAATGAATACAGATTATAGGATAAGTTTAATAAAGTGAAGTCGCTCAGTCGTGTCTGACTCTTTTCGACCCCATGGACTGTAGCCTTATCAGGCTCCTCCGTCCATGGAATTTTCCAGGCAAGAATACTGGAGTGGGTTGCCATTTCCTTCTCCAGGGGATCTTCCCGACCCAGGGATCGAACGCGGGTCTCCCACATTGCGGGCAGACACTTTACCATCTGAACCACCTGGGAAGCTTACTCAAGGGAAGGCCAAGTTTAACAAAGGCCTTCTTAAATCATATTCAAAGGTAGTGCAGACAGCACCCTGACAAAACAACACTCCTGACCTTCCTTACAATTCTTCAAAACATACTGAGTGCAGCTTAATCTTTGAGAGATAAGTTATAACTTAATTCTGTAAACTGAGTCTAGGGAATTTCTAAGGACAACCGAAAATAATTTGTCAAAAAAATAGAATAGAAGCTTCACAACATATTTTTCCTCCAGAAGCTATTTCAAGTCATCTGTAGTTAATGAGTCTGGCAAACACAAGAGCTTGTGCTTCCTAAACTTTCTCTCTCATCAAGAGGGTGTAAGCCTTGGTTAACAAGGGAAATGAAAAGGAAAACCTTCATATTCTTATACACCTAGTTCAAGACTTTTTGGCTGTTGACATTTTGGGAGAGGTTTATAAAATGGGCACCCAAGGATACTGGGAGAAATGCATACACTCTGGGATTAAAAAAAAGAAAGCAAGAAATTAGGGTCAAAGAGAGAAAAAGTCAGGAAGGGGAAGCCCTAATATGTGACTATGGCATAGTATTCAAAACTCAAGGGAAGGCCAAGTACCCTAAGGTTCAGATAGCAGTGCTGGCAATAAAATAGACATCAATCATCACCTTAACTCACCAGTCAAGACTTTTCCCCAGCACCTGCCCTGTACAATGCATTCTTCAAGGTGTATTCAAGAGTGGAATGAGAAACACTCCCTGCAGAGATGTTGGTCTAGTAGGAGGCACAGTGTGTGTTAAGTCACTCAGCTCTGTGCGTGTCCGACTCTCTGCGACCCCATGGACTGCAGCCCGCAAGGCTCCTCTGGCCCTGGGATTCTCCAGGCAAGAATACTGGAGTGGGTTGCCATTTCCTTCTCCTAGGAGGCACAGACACATCTAAATACTTACGCATGTGAATAAAAGCTAGGAAAGATACTACCAGCTGAAATGTACAGAAAAAGAGCTAAGAGTGGTTAAGAGTCCAACAGGCGACGATAAATCGGTGCATTTTTTCCTATTTTCAGTCCCCAGAGGGTTAGGCCCTGTTTGATTCAGGGTGTACTGGTTCGTCAACGGAGAAAGAGGCGGGAAATGGTACCAGGTGGTGGAAGCACAGAAAGTGGCCCCAGAGAAAATGCAACAAGAGATTAAGAGGCAGTATCCACCGCAGAGGGGCAGGGAGTGAACTCGAGCAGCCGGCCCGAGGGGAGACCGGTTCCGGAGGGGCAGATTCAACAAGGGTGCAGCAAGTTGGAGACTGGTCAGATATTAGGAAACACAGAGAGCGTAGGGCCGACGGAGATGGGGACGGAGATGGACTGAGCGGTGTGACCAGACGCCACGACAAACAGTTGCAGAGACCTTTGCCTTTTGCTGGTTCGCCGCGCGGCTCCCGGCGCCGGCCTCCCCAGCCCCCGCCCCTGCCCGGCCTGCAGCGCCACCCGCTACGGGGGCGGAGGAAGTGCCTGTATAGAAGGTCCCTTCGGTGGGGCCCGAGGGAGGCTTGGCTTCCCCAAGCGCAGAGGCCTTAATTGTCTAAACTCCTACGGGATCGAGCCTCCCGGTGCACAACCGTCTTCCGGACCCACCCTCGGCGCTTTCGGCCTCGGGGGCCCAGAGCGCTGCCGCACCTCCCAGCCTTCCGAGCGAATCGCGTGGCCCTCCTGGCTTCCGGCTGCCGCCCTCCGGCCCCCGCGCCCGAGGAAGCCCCCAGCCACGCCGCAGCAAGTGTGAGCGCGCCTGGCCGCGCGCCGCGCCCGTCCCAACGATCTCGGCCCAGCCGGCGCGCACGGCGCAGGGGGCGGGCCCGGCCCGGCTGAGGCCGCAAATGGCCAGCTGGTCCCCGGCGGCCGGCCGCGAGGCAGGAGGCGGGAGCGGCGGCCAAATCTCCAGAGGAGAAGTTGAGCCCCCATTCCCGGGTTCCGGCGCAGAGCACCCAGCCGCCCCAGCCTCCAGGCGCGCTAGCGTCTCCGGTTTCCCATTGATGAGATGGGGGAGGGAAGGCAGGTCGTGAGGGCGCCGGGGGCACGCGCTAGCGCACGCGGCCGACGGAATCCCCCACCTCCCGAGAGGCCCTTCGGCCCGACCCTCTCCAACAGTATCGAGGAGGCTGCCCGCAGCTAGCTGCCCAACTGGGGCTTGCCTTGGGCTTTCTCTTTACTGATCGTCAGACACGGGGTTAAGGGGGGTGATTCAAGAATGTCTGCCACAGCAGCTCCGTCTACAAGCAAGAAGCGAGATGAACATACACACCCTCCCCTGTTAAATATTGCAAGGTGACACGGGATCGCTTCCCACACAGGGATTTCCAAAAGGACTGGCGGAGGAAACACAGTTAACAAGAAAGATGCTTTCCCCGGTTAGAAGTTGTGTGGGAAACACTACCCCCCTCCCCCCTTCCCCCTTCCAAGGACTCTGCGGACCCAGGGGTTTTTAATCTGTGTCTCAACTCCAATCAGCAGCTTCCCACTGAATTAGAATCGAGTGTGTCCAAAAGGCGTTTCCATAAAACAAACTTAATAATGGCGTGGCTCCACTCACTCGGATTCATTCATTTTTATTACTGTTTTCATTGTCCCCTCCTCCCCCACTCCCCGCCTCCGTCTCTTCATGAAACTGGAAAGAGATCCGCGTGGGGGAAAAGGGTCCAGGAAAGGAGGAATCTGGCTGGGGAGCAGCAAAGAGGAAGACAGTGAAGTACGAGAGCTGCAAGGAGAAAGGAAGGACAGACAGGAGCGATGGGGAAAGGGCGAGGACCAGAGAGCAGAGGACGGCGGATGGGAGAGGGTTAAACAGAGCCGGAGACCGGGTCCTCCCTTCAATGCCTTTCACGCTGTGCTTGCTGGAGGCCAAGCAAAACCCAAATCCAGAGGGAAACCAGGAGTAGCACAGGTACGGTCTGTGGCGTCTCTCCCGCCTTCCCTGTCGCACTCTATGTACACATGTATGTTCTATGTTATATAATCTATGTTAAAGATGCATGTATAGCCACGGTTCACCCACACGGTTCACCACAGGGGCACCCACAGACTCACGCGCTTCCTGCAGCCCCAAAGTCTCCTGCACCCGGGAGACCCGGGAACTCAGCGATCCGCTGCCACTGCCCGCGGTTCCTCGTTCCATTCACGCCCCAGAAAGGGAGTACCGACATTTAAGGCACACCGGGAAAACGCGCGGGGCTCCTGGGGACAGTATCACACGAAAGCATCACCTACCAGTTTTCCTGCATCCACTGGATGGCTTCATTCTCGTTGAACTGCTTTTCGAATTCATATTCTTGTAGAGTCAACACTCTCATGTTCACTGGGGCTGATCTTCGGAGTCGCTACGTGTTCTCTACACAAAATAAAAGAATCTGTAAAGCGCTAGATTTCGAGTGCTCTCCAGTCTGTTTCCCCCACCCACCCCCCAAGGTCTTCCCCTCGGCGGTCGGTCTCCGGCAACCGGTTTCCCCCAGCCTCTCTCAGCTACAGTCGGGGTTGAGCATTGCCTGCGCCTCCGCCCGCAGCTCCTCTCTCCGGGACTCTCCTCCTCCCGGCGTCCGCATCCACCGTAGGAGGAAGTGAATGCCTTGCGGTCTTAGTGCCCGCACGTTTGTCCATCACCCTTTTTACTTGTCTATGGGGAATCTCCTCCCCCTCGTGCGATCCGACAAATTTTAACCCTTTGCGAGAGAGAGCGAGACCTCTCTAGCCCCGGGGGCAGTTTTGTTTACGTAAAGGTGACTAGGGCAGAGGAGGAAGGACGTGGAGGGGGAGGAAGTAGCCTTGAGGTCATCCACAACGCCCAGTCCCGACCTCGTGGGCCGCCTAGCCTGGCCTTTGAATGAAGTTTCTGAAAACCAAGCGAAGCCCCAGGGCGAGCTTAGCAAGTAGGCTATACGTAAATAATAAAACCTGCCGGCTTCCTCGCCAAGGGCTCCAGGCAAATTGGCGCTGAGATGCCACGTGAAACGAACGCATTTTCTGCCTCCTAGCCCCTGGCGCCCCGTCCAGGTCACTCACCGCCGAGCTCTGGTTTTGACTCAGGGTAACTTGGGGCCGGGTCTGCGGAGCCCCCCAATCACGTGCCGGCTGGGGATGCTGTGGGCGAAGGTGGCAGAAAGTCGAGAGTGACTAGAAGCCAGAAGAGGACGGAGGTTAGGTGGAGGCTTTGGATATGGGAAAGGGTAGAGATAGTGAACTGAAACAGAGAGGGTAAGGAAGTTCGCAAATAGGAGAACTGGACCAACTGGTCCAATGCAAAAACTATTTACATGCATAAGAAATTCGCTTTATTTATTTTTCGGGTGTAGGTGGAACAGAATCACCTTTGCGGAGAGAGTTAAATGTACCATTGACCCCTACTGATCTCCCAGTCTCACACCAATGTTTTAATCTCAGTTTCCATATACACCCTCTTTCTTTTCTCAGAGGGAAAGTATTTTTTTACTCTGTCCCTCTCTCCACTCATTCCCCACAAGTTAAGAAAAGTGAAGTGGGACATAGAGGCATCTAATAATATACACGTGTAATTGTAAGCTTAAAATATAATAACAACCTATGCTTTAAAAATTAGGTGGACATTAGGACCAGGAAGAAAATTCTCTTTCTCTGCACCTCCCCACCTCCAAGGCAGACCAAAGAGGATATTTTCATTTAAAGTCGAGTGCCTCAAACTACTGAAAACTGGAAACTGTGAGAAACATCTCTTTAAATAAAGAGGCTATAATAAAAAGTTAAGAGTTTTTTTTAAAAAAAATCCAGTGTATATATATATATAGAGAGAGAGAGAGAGTTCCCAGGTAGCGCTAGTGGTAAAGAACCTGCCTGCCAATGCAGGAGACATAAGAGACATGGGTTCAATCCCTGGGCCAGGAAGATCCCCTGGAGGAGGGCATGGCAACCCACTCCAGGATTCTTGCCTGGAGAATCTCATAGACAGAGGGGGCCTGGTGGGCTACAGTCCATCGTGTCACAAAGGGTTGACACGACTGAATTGACTTTGCAGGCACGCGTGCACACACACACATAAATGGCAAATTAATTTATAAGTTGACGCTCCCAAATATTTCATATGCAAACTTTCCTCATCTCTCCATTTAAGGGTTGTTATTCTAGAGACTTCTGCAGCAAAAGTCTGAGTAAATCTGAAAGTACAGCTAGGCCAAAAGACTTAGTAGTCCTAAGGTGGAAGGTGGGTGTGGCCTGATAAAATCAGGATGTTAGCACTGCACCTGGGCATGTGAGTAATCAATCAATATTTGTAAAGTGAAGTGATTTAAGTAGGTGAAAGAAGGGAGGCATGTTTTGGTCAGTCACTCAGTCCCGTCTGACTCTATGCGCCCCCACTGAGCCCACCAGGCTCCTCTGTCCATGGGCTTCTCCAGGCAAGAATAGTGGAGTGGATTGCATGCCCTCCTCCAGGGGATCTTCCTGACCCAGGGATTGAACCCCGTCTCCTGCATTGCAGGTGGACTCTTTACCATCTGAGCCACAAGGGAAGGCTCCTAAAGAAGTGAGAAAAGTGACAAAGGAAACAAGGGTGAGAAAATCCAGCAAATATTTTGCTATATGTTGCAAGGATAAGTCCTACTTTTGCCTCAAAAAGATCCCATTTTTAAACTATTATTCTCACTAGGCATCATGTCAATTTTAAACTAGTATGAGAAATTTTTATTGACTTACTATGTTGTCTGTTATTACCTGTTTATTTTCTGGAGATGGAGTTGGGGTTTTGTTCTTAACAGTGTCTGAAGAAAAATTACAATGGGAGGTAATTCCCTATTTGTTGACCTTTGAAGTGGACAAGAACCAAAAAATGGTAAATTCTTGATAATATTATGTGTTTTTAAGAGTATTCAAAACAGACACTGTCAGTGGTAGTGAAAACTGGTGACTTTACCTGGAAAGCAATTTGGCAGCCTATTTAATCATTTTAAATACACTATCCTTTGACCATTTATTTACAAGATATTCCTTGAGCCTGTGCTCTGCTGAGCTCTTGGGAGTCAGGGGAAGAAGAAAGACAGGATTCCCACCCTTTTGGAGCTCATATTCCAGAGAAGACAAAATAATTCCATATACGGTGACACTCTAAGATTAAAATTAAGTACCATCATCTGAAGAGATGGGAGTGCTCATTTAAACCCCGAAGTCTTCACTGAGAAGGTGACTATGAGTCTTATAAAAAATTAAGACACAGAAATCTCAATTAGATAGAGCTGCAAGACCAGAAGGGGGAGCCCTCCTGCCCTGCAACCACAGCAGAGCCCAACAGGAAAAAGAAGGACTCCTCTTTTTTTCTGGCAACAGCTGAATCAATGAAAAACCATGGTCTCTGTTTATTACACCCTCCCCACTTCCTTTTCCTCTCTATAAGAGTGTTCTCCTTCCCTTCCTCTGTGGTGACTTGCACATGGCTTACCACAGTTATACACTCTGAATTGTAATTCTCTATTAATTCAGAATAAACTCATCCTTACTGGAGTAATAATCACCAGTCTATTTGTTATAGGTCAGTAGTTGAAACCACAGTGACAAAGAGTCACTAACTTTTGCAGAAGCAAGAGCAAGTACAAACGCTCTAACGCATGGGATGAGTTTGTAGGTTGTTGTGTTTCCAGGTCATAAGGAAGGAATGACTAATAGGTTGGAGAGGCGGGCATGGGTCAGACTTGGCGGACTCGCAAATCAAGATGGGAAAATTGGATTAGAACACTCCAGTATTCTTGCTTGAAAATTCTGTGGACAGAGGAGCCTGGCAGGCTGTCCTGGACCCCCAGGACCCTGTCCATGGGGTCACAAAGAGTCAGACACGACTGAGCACGTACACACATTAACTGCAATGGGGTGAGGAGACATTAAAAGCATTTTAGATAGAGAATAGCATGATAATTCCTAGTAATTCCATTACTAGGAACTTACTCTGTGGATACACTCATAAACACATTTTAGATATATGTATAAGATATTGTTCAGCACTGTTTGTAATAAGAAAACATTGGAAATAATCAGGGGCTAACTAAATGATGGTTAATATTAATTAGACGATGGCAAACCCTTGCAATAGAATATTTTAAAGCCTTTTAAAAAGAAATGGTTCTGTTAGTTGCAATATTCAGAGAGTTTCCAGAAATATTTTTAAGGAAAATTAAAAAGCAAGGCCCAGGGCATTTTGTATTGTGATATATTTAAGAAAAACATTTACAAATGTACACTTTTGTGGGGGTTGGAGGGAAGAGTTTGTTGGTGATGTATATGTTTGGGGAAAGACCTGGGAGCAAACTAAAGAGAGTTCCTAGTGTTTATTTATTCACAGTATTTGAATTTTATGATGTATTTGTATTTCATTTTAAAAAAAAAGTCAACAGGAGTTAGCTGAGTAGTGAAATAATGGATTATTTTTCTATTAGAAATAAAATATTTTAAATGATGATTTTTCTACATTTATTTTATACTGCAAAACACGTACTAAGACCTGGCTATTTGTGTAGATTATTTTTTTTCCTGCAAGGGGGCTATAGAAGCTTAGGAGAAATGGAGAAGAATGTTAGGAAGGTGCCCAGCAACACCACTAGGAATTTTTATGAAAAGATTTATTGTGTGTGTTTCTAACCCATAACCAGATAGGTAGTTAATACTGAATATAAATAATTGGGGCTTAAAAAATAACAGCTAATCGACATTTAGTAGTAAAATTCTCAAAACTAGTTCAGAGAGTAAGGCATACTTTGAAAGACAAATTTATTTACAAAGATGAATGACAGCTAAACAAAAGATCTGGAGTTTGGTCCTGACTCTATTCCAGACCTGGCTATTGGGGAAAGTACAGTGATCCTTAATTTCTTTCTCTATATGTAAAATAACCACTGGGCTGCATGATATCAGCTTAAAATTTCACTGGTTGAGAAATATGATAAAAGATGCTTACTCCTTGGAAGGAAAGTTATGATCACCCTAGACAGCATATTAAAAAGCAGAGACATTACTTGGTCAACGAAGGTCAGTCTAGTCAAGGATATGGTTTTTCCAGTGGTCATGTATGGATATGAGAATTGGACTATGAAGAAAGCTGAGTGCCGAAGAATTGATGCTTTTGAACTGTGGTGTTGGAGAAGACTTTTGAGAGTCCCTTGGACTGCAAGGAGATCCAACCAGTCCATCCTAAAGGAGATCAGTCCTGGGTGTTCATTGGAAGGACTGATGCTGAAGCTGAAACTCCAATACTTTGGCCACCTGATATGGAGAGCTGACTCGTTGGAAAAGACCCTGATGCTGGGAGGGATTGGGGGCAGGAGGAGAAGGGGACAAGAGAGGA